TCTGTTGGCTGCTCGTATGTCTTCTTTTGAGAATTGTCGATTCATATCTTTTGCCCACTTTGTAATGGTGCTGGTTGTTTTTTTCTTTCCTGCATGTTTGAGTTCCTTGTAGATCCTAGATGTTAGGCCTTTGTCAGACATACAGTTGGCAAATATTTTTTCCCAGTCTGTGGGCTATCTCCCCACTCTCTTGATGGTTTCTTTGGCTTTGCAAAAGCTTGTTAGTTTGATGAGGTCCCGCTTGTCTATCTTATCTAAAGAGATGTTTTCAATAACCAGCTTCTATGTTGCATAAAAGAAGCAGATTTGACATTCTCTGCTGTTGGTGATAATAAAGTAAATTTAATAGTGAACCTGATGGAAGAATGAGTAAAGTAGGTCTCAGGAAATAGAAACTCCATCAGGTCTAGTATGGATTCTTCAAACTTCACCATGGGTGACCAATATTCCGAAATTATTTGAAAGCTCCCCTACCAATGAGGATGGAGAACAAGTAAACACTTTTCTTTTGAAAACTGGTAAAACATAAGAATTCAGAAGCTCTCATCTGAGCAAATGCCTCTATGCATAGCTTTCCCTGCCTTTTAAATTAACATTTTCAGTTTGTAAAAACTTCTTCTCTGGCTGGGAGTGATGGCTCAAGCCTATAATCCCAGCACTTTGGGAGGCTGAGGTGAGAGGATTGCCTGAGCCCATGAGTTCGAGACCAGCCGAGGCAACTTGAAGAGACCTCATCTCTACAATAAAAATTTTTTTAAAATAGCCAGGCATGATAGCGCATGCCTGTAGTTCCGGCTACTTGGAAGGCTGGGGCAGAAGAATTGCCAGAGTCTAACAGGTTGACGCTGGGGTGGCTGTCAGCATGCCACTGCGCTCCAGCCTGGGCGATGGAGTGAGACTCCAACTCAAAAAAACCCCCCAAACTTCTTCTGTGATATTACAATTATGTCCTTAAGCATTTCTTTCTGTTTTCTAATCAGCCTTTTTATAAACAAGACAGTTTGCAGGCTAACTGGATTTGTAGAGTCCTTCTTGCAACATGTACATCTTGTTTATATAGGCATGTATGCGTACACACATGCTCCATGCCCTACATGCTCAGCACACCTTTATCACCCATCTATCTCTCTCACTTTGGTTCCAGACAAGTGTCTTCCTGTCCTAGATTTTGTTTCCATTAAAACTATGCACTCTTTCCCCAGGTCTTTACTTCATAATTTTGGGGCTCTTGATTCTTTCATTCCTTTGGCCCCAGAGACTGACATGTCTTCTATGGATCCTGAATGATCTCCCTTTTGTAAAACGCTTTGGTAAAAACAGCTAACTATGTTTTATCATGGCATTAACAACTGAGTCACAAAACTTGATTGTTATTGTTAGTCAGGAAGCTGACAATCTTCAAAGAGTTTAGGAGTCTGAAAGTTGGACTCAACTTCAAGTATGTTTGGCATCCAAAGCAGGCGATAGGTAGCAGTAGCAGGTAGAAGCATGGCTGAGAAGTTTTCCATCTATGATGGGTGCTTGGCACACTCCAGAACAAGAGTCCCATTCTTGTTTTCTGTTATCCCATCCTCCTCCCACACAAGCATCATTCAATTTGGTAGTGCTATGCATTTAGTTGTGATATTTAAATTTAATGCTATTTAGAATTTCAATTTGAGCACACTCTGCTTTTGGAATCAAGTAGAAAACTCTGGCCATTCATATGTAATCTACCAAATATATCTTGGGAAGGAGGCAATGAATCAAGCGCAGAATTACTCTTAGAAGCATGGGTGATATTCAGAGTAGTTAACAGCTAGTTTGACATGGGCACACACAATCAGAAGGGGTCTTTGTAGCACCAGGGCTTAAGGGCTAAAACCTCTGGTTGCTGGATTGTGAAAAGGTTGGGGAGTCCTCCAAAAGAGGGCAGGGTAGGGATGGTTGCCCTTGGGGGAGCTCAGGGAAGCTGCTTTTATCAACCAGTTCTGAAGTATTTCAGCAACCACGACAGCCACATCATTGGCTCCCAGCTGAGTACCACCCTGCTGTGAGGTTCATTGTGCCCCAACTCCGACCTCATCTCTCTGGAATATTATGTGTTGAACACGAAGAAAAGGGAACACAAAGAAAAAGGTTAACTTGCAACTAACTTGCATTAAAAATCACATTGCAGACATTGCTAACTTCAATGGTCCCCAACATTTTGGATATCAGGTACTAGTTTCTTGGAAGAAAACTTTTTCATGGATGGGGGGAAGGTTTCAGGATGATTCAAGTGCATAACATTTATTGTGCACTTTATTTCTATTATTATTACATTGTAATATATAATTAAATAATTATACAACTTACCATTTTAAAAAAAGAGATGTGGTGGAAGTGTTAAATAAAATAATAGGTGGGCCACACATGGACTAAAATAAGTGCTGACCTAAAGGCTGCCACCGGATGCAGCTGTACAACTGAAGTACATCAACTCACTTGCCACTCACTAGTAGTGTTTTTGATATGTCTGCAAGCAATTGATTTATTATGGTCTTTGCGAACGTGAATCTGTATTTGCAGCTGCTTTCCAGTGCTAGCATCACTGCCTCAGCTCCACCTCAGATCATAGGCATTAGGTTCTCATAAGGAGTGCACAGCCTAGATCCCTCTCCTGTGCAGTTCATGATATGGTTCAGTTTGTGTTCCTCTGAGAATCTAATGCTGCCACTGATCTGACAGGAGGTAGAACTCAGGTGGTAATGCCAGCGATGGGGAGTGGTTGTAAATACAGATAAAGCTTCACTTGTTCAATTGCCATTACCTCTTGCTGTGGGGCATGGTTCCTAGCAAGCCACGGATGGTACCGGTCCATGGCCCAGGGGTTGGGGACCCTTGGCCTACTTTACTAGGTTATCATCTCCAACCATTTCTCAACTTTACCAAGATGCATTTGCTAAAACCAAGTGACCTCCAAGATTGTCTTCTGAATTTAAACCCGCTGCATCCCACCATGGGCTACTTTTGACTGGTGCTACTGATTGGCAAGGAAGTGACACCCCAATATGCAAAATGACTCACTCTGGCAGTTGCTGCCACCTATGGGGACCCTTGATGATGTTCACACAGGTTTTCTGAGTGGCACCTTTGAATACTCCTTAGGTGAAGAGGAGGATACTCCCTCCTCACCACCCCGCCTCTGCACACAGCTCCAGCTCCTCCCTGAGACTCCACCCTGCTTATATTTCCAATACAAAGATGTCAGATTTCAAGAAGGGCTCCCCAAGGCATTCCAAGAGCCCTCCGGCCAGTGCTTCTTAAACTTTTATGCCGTGGAACCCTTTGGCAGACTGCGGAAAACCATGAATGCCTTCTCAGAATAAAATTTGTAAGTGCAAAAAATAAAACACTTGGGATTACAAGGGGAAACCAACTATAGTGAAAAAGTTAACAAAATGTTTTTTAAATATTTATGCTTTAGCAATATATATGCTTCTTTATTGACATACAAGATCTAGTTGAGCATCTAATAACTACTGTAATCTGAGATATTTGCAACATCTGTGGTATGATTTTAAACGCCTATGGTTTCTACTGATGTCTAAGTCATACATAACTACTCCACGGCCACTGGAGTTAGTTGGCTACATTCATAATGAGAAAAAATGCTAAGTGTCAGTTAGAGGCTAGTAAACACTAAAATGTAAATCTCCTCTCATCCAAGTTCACAACACCCCTAAATTAATTCTCTCTGCTTTGGTTAAGAACCCCTGAAGGATCAGATTGCCCCTAGGGCCAACACCTCACTGGAGGTCTCACCCCATACCCTGGAGTCAGGTGTCTTCATGTCACTCACACAGACCTCAGAGTTGCCTCTTGGCCCAGAAGTTCTCCCCCCAACCAGTTCTGGAAATTTGGGGCCAGGACTCAAAAGTGGCGTCTGAACTCCTGGGTGCCACTTAAACAACCCATCTTTTCCTGCTGAGGGGCTTCTTCCCAGCTTCAGAACCATTGGAAACCAAGTTTTAAATTTCTGACTTGTGTGACTTCTCCCACAAGCACCCCTGGTCACCTCGGCACAGATCCCTGGGTGACTTGGGCCAAAAATGAGCTTCAGTGTTCTCATCAGCAAAAAGAAAATACCCATCTCAGGTTGTTAGGATTAAATGAGGCAGTGGCTGTGTTTTGTAAATTGTACTATCATTAACATTTTTGACATTGAGGTCTTTGAAGATCCAGAACACTGTATACAGAACTGGGTACGCCGGGAGCAAGCCATAAACACTTGCGGAATGAATGAATGAAGTATGTATCGGCACGTGGGCCCGAGTCCACAGAAGCAGGCTGCTTCAGGCAAGGGGCCCAGCACATCACCTGCACCTTTCTCAGCACACCGGACTACCTCCCTCGCTCAGCGCTGCACGGCCAACGCCTTCCAAGCGCTTCTTTCCGGAGGGGGCGCAGAGTGGGGCTGCCCGCCCGGAGCTCGCCTCCTGGTCTCCCAGGCCGTCGCTTCCGGGCAGGTACGGGCGGCGGGAG